TTGTAAGTTGTGCAGCTCTGTTTGAAGTAAGGAAAATTATCTTAGGAAATCCTCTCTGTGTGTTGACAACAGCTGCACAGAAGCAGTTTGCACGTGGGCAAGGACTGAGAGGAGCAGGACACATGGAAACGGTGCTGCATCCGGTGGGTCTGTCCGTGGGCCGTCGCATCAGGACGACGTAACAAACACCACAGAACTCGAGGGTCTAGCGCAGCATCTGTGGTTCTTGCTCCCGAGTTCATGCACTGGCCTGGGTGAGCATGCTGGTTTGGCTGGGCTGAGCGATCCCGTCCAGGCCTGCTCATGGCAGCGCTGGGGCCATTTGTTTTACTATCATAGACACCAGAGCACCGTGTTGTTTGCTCACAGAGAGGACGGTAGGGAACCGACTCAGCCTCCTTCCCATGCAGTCCTACCCTCTGAGCTGGTGCCTTGGTCTAAGGAGTGCACCTACCTGGTGTCATTGTTCACTCTGTAGGCATGTCTGTCGTTTGTCAGGAAGCCACAGGAGTGAGTTCAATTCTAGTCCTGAAGGGTGACTAGGGGCCGTAGTCTCAGAGTTTTACGAGACTCTGTCAAACCAGTAAGCTGGTCTTTTGCTTTATGATTTTGAGTTTTGTTCCACATTTTCCTCCCACTCTCTCCAGGATCTCCTATTTTGATCCCACTCTGAGTGGTTGGCAGTGGTAGCCTGGCACCATCTAGTTCTTCTGGTCTCAGGGTCATGTAGGCTAAGGTCCACAACTCACTATCTTAAAAATAGATACATGTGGGGGAAGAGTCCAACACGTATTCTGTCTTTCCCATGTGAAAAAGGAGCCCTGGTTGCACAGTGGTTAGCGCTTGGTTGCTAACCGAGAGGTCAGCGGTGTGAACCCCCCAGCCATTCCACAGGAGAAAGATGTGGCCCTCTGCTTCCCTGAAAATTCCAAAACCCAAAACCAAATTCACTGTTGTCGAGTCAGACCCTGAAGATTACAGCCTTGGAACCCCTGTGGGGCTGTCCTACTCTGTCTTCTAGGGTCTCTGTAAGTCAGAATTGACTCAAGGGCAACAGGTTTGGTTTCTGGTTTTGGTGACACAGTGATTCAGTGCTCAGCTGTGAAGGATGGGCAGTTCGAGGCCACCCTTTGGCTGAAGAAAGACGTGGTGACCTGCTTCTATAAAGATCAGAGCTAAGACAACACCCTGGGTTCGTTCTGCTCCGTCACATGGGGTCGCTGAGTCTGAGCCAACTCGCCAGCTTCCATCGACAACAGTGAAGTAAGGACCCAGGCCGGCACTGTGCAGTGTGGTGGCCTCTCACCACAGTGGCCGCTGACCAGTTGAGTGTGGCAAGTTCAAGTTGAGACGTGCTGTCAGGTAGAGTACGCTCCACAAGTGTAAAATGTCTCATTAGTCGGTTTTCCTATTGATTCCATAATAGAAGGCCACTAGGTAGCACGGAACAGTGTGTGCTCAACCGCTGAGACCGAGATGGGCACTAGGAAGGTGGCCTGGTGATCTACGTCCTTAAGACGGTGGCTGTTAGGCGCTGTCAAGGTCACAGCCGAGAACACCCTGTGGACTAGAGCTACTCTGTTAACAACACACGGGATCGCCCAAATCGCCTCAGCAGTAGCTGACAACTTACTAAAATAATAACATTTTAGGTGAGTGGGCTCGAGAAAATATATCATCAACGTGATTTTCACCTCTTTCCTTTAGCTTTTTTTAAAATGTAGCTGCTAGTCAGCATTCCTCTCCACTCTCACTTGGGCCTTGTGTTGCACTTCGTTGGTGGAGGTGGTCAGTCACTAACACCCTGGAAGAGCGACAGCCAGGCCCGTGCACCTGCCGACGTGTGGAGCCGGCCACGTGCCAGCGGCCTCCCCACAGCCCTCTGGTCTGGCCACCAGCTTATGGGAATGGAAGGGCCACAGGAACCCCATTAGACAAGGGCCCTGGGCAGACCTCCCCAGGACACAAGACCCAGGATCCTCAACAGATCAACCGCACAGAATAAAAGATGGGAGAGGCCACATAGCTTAAGAGGGACACGAGAGACGGGGCCCCGCAGCGTTTCGTCCCTTCACACGTACGGTTGCTGTGAGTCGGAGCCAACTCAAGGGCGCCTAACAAGACAGAGCAGCCAGTCAGAGGTCCGGCCTTGTTTGCACGAACTTCTTCTTGTTGTTGTTGTATGTTGTCAAGTCGGCCCGACACGAGCTAGGCGGTGTTTATCAGGCAGGGGCACGCTGGACACGCACGTGATACTTGATACTTAGAATTACTGTGACTTTTTTGCCACAATAACAGTGTGAAGTAGTATATCGTGTAACACACTGAGGAGTGTTTTTTACAGAGATTCTTACCAAAATTTGAGGGAGTTTGGGTTGGTGAGGTGGGGAGTCGGTGGGGATAAAGATGAAATGTGACTGGCTCTGTGTTGATGATTGTTGGAACCGGGTACTGGGGGCCAGTGCACTTTTCTCTCCACTCGGTGTACAGCTGAAATTTTCCACAATAGAAATGCAAACAAAGTCCCTGGATTCTAGATGCCCTTTCAAGGTTGGTGGCATGGCCGTGGGGTACAGGGAGTAGAGCAGGCCCCTGGACACCACACCTTGCTCTGTGGCTCCAGGCCCCCTTGTGAGTGCCAGTCCCTCCTCCTCCCCACCCTCTTCTGTCCTCTCTGGGGCTGGTAGGACATCATGGCAGTGGGCGAGTGGCTTCAGAGAGCTTGGAAGGGGTCCAGTTTTCTGTCAATTCTGTTGTCCCCCTACTTCACCCCACACTTTCTTCTCATTTCAGTAGGACGCACCCCCACGTAGCTGCCCCGTCGGAAACTCTTCAAGAATGTGAGGCACTGACAAGACTCTTTCAATAGCCCCTGTGGTCTTGGTTTCCAGGGGTCCTTGGACCCCTGGATTTGAGTGTAAATGTTGTGTAAACAAAGGTTCTGGCCTTGGAGACTGGAAGGGGTCTGTTGGTCATTAGTTTGTTCACGAATTCCTCGACACCCACCCCGTGCTAGAGAGTGACAATTTGAAGATACAAAGTCAGAATGACCCCTCCCTCAGTCCGGGTCACAGCCGGTCTTTGGACAGGTGTTATGGGCTATCGGGTGCAGAGGTGGGAGGGCTGTGTGCTGAGGTGTGGGGAGGGGGCGCTCTCACAGGCAGCGTTGGCCGTGGAGGGTGAGGGCTGGGAGGGCGCCCTTGCAGCCAGCGTTGGCAGCAGCTTTGGTGGGAACTAGGCCTCTGCACACATGCTCAGCTTCCGTCTGCAGGTCTATCTGTCCTGTGCTTCTCTCTTAGGATGAGCGTGCAAACGATCCGAAATGTTTTCAGTGTCGAAACTGGCTATCGGCTCTCGGATGACCAAATAGTCAACCATTTTCCAAACCACTATGAGCTGACCCGCAAGGATCTGATGGTGAAGAATATCAAAAGATACAGAAAAGAGCTGGAGAAGGAGGGGAGCCCTCTCGCCGAGAAAGACGAAAATGGAAAATACCTTTATCTGGGTTTGTGCCTTTTCCGGTGGCCTCGTGTGAAGACAGTGTTTAGGTTTCATTGAGTGGCGTGAGGTGCTGACCGGTGATGGCTGGCTCCGGCGGGTGGAGGCCTTGGTGTGGGGTGTCCGCTCACCGCCACGGTGGGGGACTGAGCTCAGCGTGGAGTTGTACTTTCTGTGAGCACCTTGGGGTGTGCTGCATGTGCAGCAGAGGGAGAATGACATCGACACCACGGGTATCCTTCCTGCATCTAGTGCCCCTGAGGGTGAGGGTGCTGTGCCCCTGTCCTGTCCAGAGACACAGGCCAGACCCTCGGAGAGTCTCAGAGCCCCTTCGCATGCCTGGGCAAAAGTGTACACTGACCTCTGCAGGCCTCAGTGTCCTTATCAGATAAAACGGGAGTGACAGCGGTCCCTACCTCCCAGGGGGACATAGGGCTGCACGATAGATTTCTGAAGGGTGTGGTAAAGGTGACTTCTTGTTGTACAGGAACCGAACGGAAGACGTCCTTGTTCTGTCGAGCGCTGGTTTTGGCAGTGGTCGGGGAGGGTGGCTGTGGAGCAGGCCCGCAGGCAGCGGCAGGGTTTCTGTTCAGGGCTCCCCACCGTCCCCTCTGCTTACCAGCAGTGTGTGTCTCGACCTTTCAGATTTTGTCCCGGTCACCTACATGCTGCCTGCCGACTACAACCTGTTCGTGGAGGAGTTCCGGAAGAGCCCGTCTAGCACCTGGATCATGAAGCCGTGTGGCAAAGCCCAGGGGAAGGGCATCTTCCTCATCAACAAGCTCTCGCAAATCAAAAAGTGGTCCCGGGACAGCAAAACGTCCTCGTGAGTGTGGGCCCTGCCGCCCCGTGCCGCCTGCTCGGCACTGCCATCTGCCTGCAGCCTTGGCCAGGAGCCGGGATCCCTGAGGGGAGCGGGGCTGGGCCTGTCGGTGGCCTGGGCTTGCTTTCACAGCGGTGATGTTGTTTGCCACATGGAGTAGCAGCAAGTCTCTGTGGCTGCACTAGTGCCCTTAGTTGTAGACTGTCCTCTGAGGTGAACTACGAGGGGAGGGGTGTGTGAACCAACCCAGGTCCCCGAGCGGGGTCCTGCTGGCCTCTCCTGAGTGAACTGACCTGCTAGCCGCTCCTGAGTGAGCTGCGAGGGGAGGGGTGCGTGACCCAGCCCAGGTCCCCAAGCGGGGGTCCTGCTGGCTGCTTTTTGTGCTACGGGTAGGGTAGTAAGACTCTTTCAGTCACGGTATCACTAAGGCCATGTAGCTTAAGAGCTGGGCCATGGGTCCCAGAGTGCCTGGGTTTGAATCCCCGTCCGACACTGACTGGCTGAGTGAGTTTTGTCTTTTAGACTCTGGGTGCCTCAGATTCCTCATCTGGGTAAAACGAGGGTAATAACTGTGCCAGCCTCACGGGGCGTGGTGGGGTGCAGCACTTGGAGGTGACTGTGGTTATGGTCTTGGGGGCAGTCTTGGCTAGCTGATCTCCTCCCCGGGCAGGTCTCCCCTGAACTGATTTTACTGGGCCAAGGCGTTGGGTCGGGCTCCCTGCTGGTCACTCTGCCTCTTAAAGCAAAGTGCCTGTGTGCAGTGGGCCCATTGGCCCTGGTGACGGCAGGGCGGGGAGCTCAGTGACACGCGTTCCCAGAAGCGGCAGACATCCATTCTCGTTGTGTGAAACCCATTACATCTGTTGCCTCGAGTTAACTCCTCCTCGTGCACCCTAGAGGATAGAGTGGAACAGCCCATAGGGTTTCCACGACTGTAAGTCTTTAGCTTCAGCGGCAGCCCCTGGGTCAGTGAGGTGGATGGACACGGTGGCTGCAGCGATGGGCTCAGGAATAGCAGGGATCATGAGGCTGGCACAGGACCAGGCAGTGTTTCGTTCTGTTGAACGTGGGGTCACTATGACTTGAAGATGACTCGACGGCCCCTAACGACAACAACAAGCTATCTTTAAGGACGCAGACTGCACATCTTCCTCCCGCAGAGCAGTTGGTGGGTTCAGACCATCGCCCCTCTGGTTAGCGGTCGGTTGCTTATGGCCTGTGCCGCCAGGACGCCTTTTTCATTGTAGAATAATGGCTCTTGGGTCAGGCCCACGGAGCCCTGCTGTGAGGGTGCTCAAGGGCTATTGTGTAGCAGCTGGGACGAAAGAGCACTCCTCTGTGGGTCCCCCTCACTCCATCTGTTCCCCCACAAACAGGCAGCTCCCTGTGGGGGTGCAGGGAACTGAGCGGCTGACCCAAGCATACCTTTGGTCTTTGCCATCTCATTTTGACTTTATCTGACATTGTAGGTTTGTGTCTCAGTCTACGAAGGAAGCCTACGTCATCTCTCTCTACATTAGCAACCCTCTGCTCATTGGCGGGAGGAAGTTTGACCTGCGCCTGTATGTCCTGGTGTCCACATACCGCCCACTGCGCTGCTACATGTATGTAACTTGTATGTCCTGGTGTCCACGTGCCGCCCACTGCGCTGCTGCATGTATGTAACCTGTATGTCCTGGCATCCACATGCCTCCCACTGCGCTGCTACATGTGAGTGTCCAAAGATGGGCTTTCACTTACACTCCTCCCTCCCGACTGTTGTTTGGGGCTTTAGGACACGTGATGTGTGTGCCGTGCCTGGCCCAGGGTAGGGCGTGAGTGAAATCCAGTGATTAACCTCAATGCTGATGTTAATCTGAGAGAGGAGGACACGGCCTTTGTGGCCAAGTGATGTGTTTTCGTTATTTATTTACTTACTTAAAATGTTTTATTTTATTGATGCTTTGTTTACTATGTTTTATTCATGCCTCTTCTCTGAGTGTTGAGTAAGTCTGAACTGCCGTCTAGGTACAAGCTGGGATTTTGCCGGTTTTGCACGGTCAAGTACACGCCGAGCACCAGCGAGCTGGACAACATGTTCGTGCACCTCACCAACGTGGCCATCCAGAAGCACGGGGTGAGTGCTGCCTTTGTCTGAGCTGAAGGGAGCTGACGGGGCGAGGTGGGCACGGGGTGGTGTTCCCCGTATGTAAGGGTCCAAGGCCTGGCACTGATGGGGAGGGTGAGAGGCAGGCTCACAGTGACAGTGTGACTGAGTATCAGCCCGAGGAATGGAGAGGGTGGTCCTTGGGTCTCGAAGCCTCCAGTTCAATCCCGGTCTTTCTGGTTCTGTGACCCTGGGCCGGTTAATTCTGCTCAGAGCCTCAGTTTCCCCATTTACGAGAGGAGATAATGCTACTATCGGAGTGTTGTTGGGGGGTTACCTGAGATGACCCGTGTCTGCAGTTGGTCATTGGTTCAACACATCGGGCAGGTCCTGCGCTGCGTGCTGGGGGTACGGTGATAGGGAGACTCTGCCGATAGCGGTGGGAGATACCATCAGCGTTCTCCTGGGCTCCACTCTCCTGCAGCCTGTGGGCAGGAGACACTCGTCGAATAATCCCACTGATGAGTGAGACGCGTGCTCCGAAGGCCACGGACAGCCAGGTCCAGAGAGCATGGAATGAAGGAATCCCCGAGTTCTGTGAGGGGAGGCGGGAGAGAGAATTCCAGACCCACCCAGCACGTGCCAGACCCTGTGGCGTAAGGAGCACTGCGGAGCCGTGAGGAGCCAGGGCGACTGAGTGAGAGGTGCCTGGCGGGGCAGGGAGGGCAGGACACGGGGACTTTGTCGGTTCCATTTAGAGCTCGGGACTTTGATCTCATCCTCTTTCCTAACAAGGAAGTTCTGACGGTCTCTGTTCCTTATGAGGGGCTATCTGGGAATCCTGCTCGAGTAGAAGCCCTGAGTCCTTTTCAGACTCTGAGTGAGAGTGGAAAGAGGATGAGTATTGACATAAAACAGGCTTTTCTGTGTAACCTACTGAAGAACATGATCTGACCAGCCTGGGCTCAAGCCCACATCTGTCACTTAGCCTGTGTGTGACAGATCGTGTCACCTGAACTGCCTCGTTGCAAATGGGAGCCGCGTTGTTCCTTCCCTTGCCAGTCCTTCAGTGACAACGGCCCCCTTCGACTGGGGGCCAGCAGTGGTCTTCGTGTGAGGCTGACCTGGTTGGCTTGTCCACCTGTCAGGTTTTCCTGGGAGCATTGCTGTCACAGCTGCTTAAGTTCAAGTAGAAGGTCAGGCCGAGACTTGTGGAGAGTGGGGAGAGTCACCTTTCAGGTGGTGCAGAGCAGAACTCTCAGCCCTGGCAGGAAGGCTGAGCAACGGCGTCAGACCCTTCATAGCCAGTTAGCTCCGTGAGTCAAGGGTGTGGTGGTAATAACTGCCCAGGAGGCCTCTTGGTGTCTCTGAGGACAGTGCAGTGTCTTGACCTTCCAGTGCAGGCTCCTGGATCTGGGGCTGCCAGACTGGACCCGGAACATCCCACTAGACGGGCTTTCTCGGGAGGCAGTGTCGGCGGGGATGCGTTGGCAGGAGACAGGCTGTCCTTCAGCTCAGAAGCCTCACACGGGAAGCTGCCGCAACTTCCATGCTGGGCCCAGTTGTTAACACTTTGCTTTTCAACGCAAGAAAGACTTAGTCTGAGAAACCTGAGTTCTTGCCTTGAGCGGCAGCTTCTCATAAGTGTGTTTAGAACTGAATGAAGAGCAGACGTCACGGTAAACACTGACACTTTGTCGGGCAGCCCTTTGTTCTGGCGAGGTCACTCTGCTCTGCTCGTCCCACCCCTAGAGCTCAGCCCCGTGAGGTCACTCTGCCACACACTTCCCACCATCAGAGCTCAGAAATCTGTGAGGTCTACCAGCCCCATGAGTCCCACCCCCAGAGCTCAGACACCTGTAAGGTCCCTCTGCCCTGCACGTCCCGCCATCGGAGCTCAGAGACCCGTGAGGTTACTGTGCCCTGCACGTCCTGCCCACAGAGCTCAGAGACCCGCAGGGGAGGCAGCGCTACAGAGAACTGATGACCAAGGACAGAGACACAGTGGGGCTGTCTGGGTGCAGGAGCAGGGGCGTGGCCCACAGCTCTCCTCATCTGCCAGGAGTCAGCACCCTGAGCAGCCGTGGAGGGCTTTGCAGCCCGCAGAGAGTGGGAGGAGGGAGCAGGAACAGGAGACGGCAATGTCTGTCAGGGAGTCGATTACATGCCGCGAAAGATTCCGATGGAACGGTGTTCCTGCAGGCCGGGAAAGGGAGATGTTTACTCGCTTTTTATATCTGGACTGTGCTAGGCTGTTTGACTGTGTCTATTTATTTTATGCTTCAAGAACTTTCTTTTTATAAGCAAACATCAGCTTTTCTTGATGGTAAAGGGAGTCTGTGGCTTGAAAAAGTAAAGTATTGTTGAATGGCAAGCCCCACTTTCCCTGAACTTCTGTGGTCTTTTTCTAGGGAACCAGCCCAGAGTTACTGGAAGAGGCCATTAGATGAACAAGCTGGGTGCTTCATCTTTTGAGACTTATTATTATTATTCATTGCAAATACTTTTTTTCCCCTTCATTATTATTTATTTACTTATTATTGTGATTTGGGTGACAGTTGACAGAGCAAATTCATTTCCCACGCAGCGGTTCACACACATTTGGTTTCATGACACCGACTGCAATTCCCCACAGTGTAAGAGCTCTCTCCCCACTTCCTGCCCATAGTCACCTCTTCCCTGTGGCCTTCTTTTCTATGTATTCTGCCCCCTGAGCTGTCTCCCTGTGCAAACACTGCCCTTCTGTTCTCGCATGATTGATCGCTCTAAGGAGTGTATCCACCTGATGTATATATGCCTGTCTGCTGTTAGGCTGGAATCTACAGGAATGAGTTCAGTTCCAGACCTGAAGGGTCACTAGGGGCCATGGTCTCGGGGGTCTCACCAGGCTCCATCAGACCAGCAAACCTGGTCTTTTTTTTTTTTTCCAGAATTTGAGTTTTGTTCCACATTGTTCTCCCACTCTATCCAGGGTCTCCTACACTGACCCCTTTCTGAGTGGTTGACGTTGGTAACTGGGCACCATCTAGTTCTTCTGGTCTTGTGGACATATAGGCTGAGGATCGCATGGTCTACTAGTCCCTTGGACTAATTGTTTCCATGAATCTTTGGTTTTCTTCATTCTTCTTTGCTCTGAAAGAGGAGAAGAGCTTGCTTGTAAGCTTTTAAGACCTCATTCGCTACTCACTAAAGTAGGATGTAGAACAATGTTTCTGTGTAGTGTATTATGCCAACTGAGCTTGATGTCCCCTGTGACCATGGTCCTGAGCCCACAGCTCCAACCACTCGCTCCCTCAGGGTGGTTGGCTGTGGCTAAGAAGACACCATAACTGCTCTCTGTTCTAGTTACACGGACATTCTTACAGCACTTACAAACACATATGTAGAATCATTGTCCGCCAACCTTATTTATGGCCGCGGGTAGATTCCCTTTTGCCTGGACATACCTGATCATTCAGCCTGTCTACCCATCTGTTTACCCGGAGACTTCAGAGATATTTCAGTAGTCAGGAGTTTACCTCAGCCCTGGAACACGTGTCTTTGTTGTTATTATTGAGTACGGTTGATTCTGTGTTTACGTTGAAGTCTTCTCCTGGGTCGGTGGGGTTGGTTCATTGTTAGGCTGGTTTTGTCTTGGGTCACAGTTCTCGGCTTTATGCTTGGAGCATGAACCCCGGTGCCGTAACCTCTGACCGGCCTCAGTCCTTCCTGGCTCTCCTTCAGGAGAGCAGTGTGCGCTGGGCGAAGTCTCAGGAACAGAGAAATAGACCACTGAACTGGGGTCAGCGTCGCAGCCTAGGGCCCCTGCTCCCAGGGGGAAAGCTTGGGCTCGCCATGGGCCTGAGCCTCAGTCTGTCTACGTGTGAAATGGGATGATCGTGAGACTTTGTGGGGTTGTTAGACATGAAGGACGTGTGGCTTAGGTCGACTTCCCCAGGAAAGAGTCTGAGTGCGGGAGCAACACCCTGGAGGGAGGCGGGGCCGGGGAGGGAGGCAGCCTATTGTGGTAGAGCTGCAACAGAGAGTTTAGCTGAGCCACAGGCATGCGCTCTGGAGCTGGAACCGCCCTGCACATACATGGTCCCAGATGGAGGCAGGTACCCTGATATCAGCCAGTCCTGGGATGCAGGCTGCCCCGAGGGAGAGGCATAACCTTGGACCAGGCAGCTCTCTTTAGCCAAGGATACCTCCCAGAGAGGCTTTCAGCTGGAGAACAGGTTAGGGACCCACCCATTTTGATAGGCGGTTGGCCTGCCACAGCAACCACTAGAAGGTGTAAACATCAATTACATGAATACAGTCTCAGGCCCCATAACGTCCGCGGTCCCATTCCTGCAAAACCAAGACCCATACAATGTTTGTGATCACAAACAGGCAATTCTCTGTGACGCTCATGGGGGTATCAACTGTATCACTAAGTTAAAGGTGATTTAGGGTGTTTTTTATGTGTGGAAAGGTGCTCTCCATATTATGTACTAAGATAGACATATGACTAATGATGTTAGATGTGTACAGTACCTAACTGTTCCAACTTACGTGCAAATTCAACTTAAAGACGGACTGAGGAATGGAACTCACTCGTCATCCAGGGACGGCCAGTGTATAATGTGATGTCCGCACAACGTCCAAATCACATAAGGGCCTATGTCACGGAACCTGTGGTGGACGCTAAGTGATGTGTGACTGTGTTCCAGAGTGGGATGTTTTAGAATAAGAGGAGGCCACTTTGTCCCTGGGGACAGGCATCAGGTCGGCCCAGCTCCCGTGGGGTGACAACACTGAGGAGGCCCTCACTCGGGAGATGGTGCTGGGAGTTGGTGGTTGGGTGTGAGAGCCGGTCATGGCCCTCCCTGGGGGCGTGGCCTGAGGGTGCCCTGGCCCCGCCCTGCAGGACGACTACAACCACATCCATGGCGGCAAGTGGACTGTGAGCAATCTGCGGCTGTACTTGGAGAGCACGCGCGGCAGGGAGGTCACCAGCAAGCTGTTCGACGAGATCCACTGGATCATCGTGCAGTCCCTGAAGGCCGTGGCGGTGAGTGCCCTGCAAGTGAGAGTGGCGGGAGGGACACTGGGCCAGGGCCAGGAGAGAGCGGGGCTAGCCGGCCGACGGGCTATTGCACAGCAACAGGGAGGCTCGCCAGGCTGCCACTGGAATGCTCCCCCACAGCTTGCCCCTTGAGGCCGCCACAGGCCCGGGCTGTTTGTGGGCTGGGCTGGGGGTTCACACCCACCAGATGCTGCCCGGGCATCTCCAGAAGTAGGCACGGCCGTGGGTCGCTCGTGAGGGCTCTGGGCTGTGGCTGCCGGATCAGCGACTGCTGGGCAGCCTGTGGTGTGAGAGGGGCCTCAGCAGCCTCCTTGCTTTCAGGCTTCTCAGCTTGGCTGCTTCGTGGCTGCTTTGCACCTGAGGTCCAAGGTCCCACCTCTTCCTACTGTTTACTGGCTTTCCGGTTTTGGTTGTCCAGTTTCAAAGCAGGTCCACTTCTGTTTTTGAGGGACCGGAAAGGACTGAACACTTGGACACCCACCACCAGCTGCTCTTTCTGGTGCTTCCCAGATGGGGTCGCCGAGGGGCTTCATGACCCGTGTGACCTCTCGCCAGACAGAGGCTCAGGCCCAAAGAGCTGGGAGGGGAGAGCATCCTGGGGGTGGCACGTGGTGTGAGAATGTCCGTCTGCTGCCGCCGAGGTCACGCGACTCTTGTTCTCGTGGCCTGTCTTCTCAGGGGGACGGAGGGTCTGCCTTTCTGCCTGCAGAGGTAGCCCCCAAACAGGCCCGCTCAGGGGCAGGGCCTGAGGACTTGGCCTGGATCCCCAGGAGCCACTGTGACGAGTCCCTGTGGAGCATGTATGTGTGTGGCAGGCCACCTCCCGTTCTTTTGATAAAGGTGCTCTGAAAACTTCAGAAACTGACAGAATCACAGCCAAGTCATAGGCCCCAAACCCAGGCCAGGCGTGCATAGGCCGCACTCCTGGAGCTTTGGGGTTGTGGAGGTACTTTGACTGCCACCGTCGGAATTGTTCGCGGTTGCTGTCTTGGAGTGAGTGTGATGACGGCTCTGGCAGCACGGTGAACATGTGAGAGAATAGTGACAGGAAACGTTCTCTGTGGGGAATGAAGGCCCTCTCCCATTGTTCCCTCAGTGTGCAGCTTACATGCTCCTCCTTGTACGTGAATGACTTCCTCCAAATGACCATGGAAGGGAATGACTGACGTGGACCTCTGGGGTTGGCAGGAGTTGTCGCCGATGGTGGTTTGAGTTGGACATGCTCCCTGCTTTACGAACTCCATGTGTTTTTTTCTGTCTTTGGTTGACAGTGAGGGTTTGAAGGGAAGAGAAGCTCTCAGGATCTAGCTTGTTGCATGGGGAGAGTCTCAAATCTCCTGTTGCACAGAAGCCGCCTTCTAGTTTAGCAGCCTGGGTGGGGGGTCGTGGGTAGGGAATGAGCGGGCATGCAATTCTGGGCTCAGACACGACTCTGCTCAGGCTCAGGCAGGTGACTGGACAGGTGCCCACCCTTTCTGAGTGTCTGGCACCTCGTCTGTGAAGTGGGGCCATGACACTGATGTCACAGGGTTGTGACATGAGAGCTGCGCTGTGGACTGAACCTACCGATTGAGGAGAAGAGGTGCTGCTGGCCCGTTCCTGCACGTGACCGTGTGCCTTCATTTCTGGGGACACCAGCTCTGGCCTCCCTCCCGAGCCCGTTTTACTCTCTCTGC